AGCCCTCCATTTTTATATTGTTCGCTTGCTAAATTTTCACTCTAGTAAGACTACAAGAACCAAGGAACTACATTGGCATGGCCTATAAAGGTAAACAGGTGGAGATTACCCAGTACATGTAGGAACCTGGAGTGTTTCAAAGGAAGACATTAGCAATTACACAGACAATCATTAATCTATGTCCCTGTAGACAAAACGAATCCAACTAATGACAGTTGTCTTTTGTTTCAACTCCTGCCCACCTGAGGGGCTGATTTGCATGTCTTAAGTCTTTGCATTTCTTTTGTTCTTCTTCTAGCAAATGTCATGGGAGAACGAATAGGTGGTTTCTCGGAAATGCGGGAATCTTGAATTAATTTCTTCAGCAATTCTCAACCAAATGAAAGCTTATTAGGCAGGTTAATCACAGAACTAAATACCTTCTATAATAGCTCGATTAAGGATGTTAAGTTTTATTCTATCCCCTTTTTTGTACTATGTTGTATAGTTGTTGCCATACATTGTACCTCATACAATTGTGCAATAAAGTTCTACTGTAAATTAGGAATGCTGTAGACTTGCATTGACATTCGCCTGAATGTAAAAGCTAGCCAGTATTTGAACAGTAAGTCAATTATACTGCCTCAAAGTAGCAAGACTTATGAAGTCTCTGGCTCAGGATATTGTAAATAACTGCTTCGTTCCAGAGAGATTCTGTCTGCTTTATTCATTACCAACAGTCTTAATTAAAAATTTAAGAATGCTGTAGAATTGCATGGTCATTTAGCATGAATGTAAAACCAGGCCAGTATTTGAACAGTAAGTCAAATACACGGCCTCAAAGTAGCAAGACTTAATAAGTCTCTGGCTCAGGATATTGTAAATAACTGCTTCGTTCCAGAGAGATTCTGTCTGCTTTATTCATTACCAACAGTCTTAATTAAGAAGGCTGTAGAATTGCATGGTCATTAGCATGAATTTGATGCAGCATAGCAGGGCAGTATTTGAACAGTAAGTCAAATAAACGGCCTCAAATTAGCAAGACTTATGAGGTCTGTGGCTGAGGATATTCACAGTAAATAACAGCGATTCGCTCCAAAAAATTCCGTCTGTTGTATTTGCAGTGGCCGTATTTAATGGAGTTTTGCTTGTGTTCTAGAAACGCTTGCTTTGCTAGGGGTACATTTCTGAAGCATCCGGGTGGCTACGCTTGGTGTAAGCATGAATGGGAACGATCGTTACGAACGAGTGGTCACGAATTGAAGTATTCGACATCGTTTTGAGCAGTTTGATTAGGCGGATATGGTTGACCCCCTTTGCTACAATGATTGTCAAAGCTCCTGTTTGATTTCTGCCAAGATGTGATTAAAGAAATGACAGATTGTGATTTTTTAATCTTTAATTGGAGCACGGAGCCACTAAGTTGAAACAGGTGAAATCTTAAAGTACATTCAATTTGATACTGGAAAGGACTTGAGACAAATAATTTGAGACAAGAATCTTGTAATAATTTTTTAGAAATCATCCTAACATCTTTTGGGACACTTAAAAATGACAGAATAACGAAGAAATTCTGACAAACAAAACTTCAAAAAGACCCTGAATGCTATAAAAACACTGTAACTTGCCCTGCAAAGTGGCTCCTATAATAAAAGACATCCTGACCATGCAAGAATCTGTACCTGTTGCTGTTTTGGACGGAAATAAAAAAGGAATTTATGAGCTTTTTGAAGTGGAGTTTTACAGCTTTGTGTATTTGTTCTGACCGAAGTGAAGGAGCCCCCTCCCACTTTCTAAACGGAAGTGGAGTTTGGAGTGTTTGCCGAGCTCTAACTTTCTGTTGTTGATGTAACATTTCTTGAATGTTTTTGTATCATTTTCATGGCATTTCCTGGTCTATAGTCTGGTACGTATTAAAGGAAAAGCCGTCCTTTGTTGTAACTGTTTTATTCTATAGAAAAAGAAGTTTGAAACAAGTACAATGTGTTTTTACATGGTCCATTGGCTGGTAAACCTACCTGCACACTGGTAGGTTTAGAGCTGAAATCGGCCAGATGTTGTTGTTCAAGCAATTTGCATGCCACTTATAGAAAAGATAATACACTGATAAGGATAGGATGGTAAGCCAGGGTCTACTGTACAATATTGTCCTTTGTATTTGACTGAAAGAGTATGACTTTTCCCGGGACAATCAGATGTATATACTGTACATAACACCTGTCCTCATTGTTAACAGTGGGAGATTAGCCTGGGTGCCAGACTGTTGCCAGGGGCAGTATACATACCAGCTCCTCAAGGGCTAGCCTGGGTGCCAGACTATTGCCAGCCTAGAACCAGCATAAAAGAGCTAGCTAACTGTGCTCCAGGGCTTAGCCTGGATGCCAGACTGTTGCCAGGCCAGTATACAGGCCAGCTCCTACATAGGGCTAGCCTGGGTGCCAGGCTGTTGCCAGGGCCAGTATACAGGCTAGCTCCTCAGCTCCAGGGCTTAGCCTGGGTGCCAGACTGTTGCCAGGGTCAGTATACAGGCTAGCTCCTCGGCTCCAGGGCTAGCCTGCCGGTGTCAGACTGTTGCCAGGGCCAGTATATGGGCTAGCTCCTTGGCTCCAGGGCCAACACATCTTTTGTTAGGAGTAGATATGGGAGTAGATAAGACTGTGACCGCACGGGCGGTCAAGACATATGGTCTTCATTAACAGGAATAAAGTACCTCCGGCCATGTGGCAGGAGTCAGTCTAGAGTGAGATCTCGTCTTGTGCAGTTCTCTGACAGCTCGGCTCACCACGCTAGTCTCGGCTACCCTACACTTTTACCACAAACCCCCTCAGTGAGACCCTGAATCTAAATATGGGCTGGCCTGTGTATTGGCCCTGGTAGCCAGGCTAGTGGATGATTAGCCTTTTGGTGAAAAGTAAACTTGGTGAGGTTAAAAAATGTTGATTGGATCTAATGGTGTTCAAAGGAACACTCGGGTGATTTGAGACCCAAACTCACGCTACTCGCACTAGCGTGGGATTGCTTTGAAGTTCAGACAAGCGTAGATGTTGTTTTCGATGCACCCAACCAGCATAACAGGTGTCAGTGACCTCACAGGTAGCGGGCCGTTCCATTGCAAAGAGGGCCCTTCTTGTGAACAATAAATTCAGTAGTAACTGTTTTCCCCTTAGTTTCCTATCCTAGCACGAAATGTTGGTTTCTTACAAAATTCTTTCCCTTCATTTTTTGTTGGAAATACCTTTGAAGTATTATAAATTAGCACGCAACCCCCCTCTCCACACACAAAAGTTTGAATGGACTAGTCCAATAGAGATGCAAATCACTGACCTTGGCACCTGCCCAAGAATGTACCGGACTGGTCCATTTTCCTGTAGGGGTGAAGGTTGATCGAAGTTAAAATTCTTTATGACTATGCAAATGATAACATTTTCATAGCAGCATTACCATAATCAAGAAATAATTTATGGACAAGTTGCTTTTCATTTCAACATAGTGGCTACATTATTTAGATTTTATATTAGAAGGAAGTTGCAGGTCAGAATACAAGCATTGTTGCTAAGATACACTTTTGGGGAATTTGAGACTCAGGGTTTTCTTTCCTTTCAAAAATCATTAAGAAGTTCCCAGGCATTTATACTGGCAGTTCTAATGGAACCTATTGGTTCTCATTCAGTTCAATAGTATAGAGTGCTTGATATGCTTGGGAGAGAAACATCTATGAAAGAAAACCAAAATTAAACTTGGAAAGTTGGAAACGAAATTCATTCCCAATCATCTTACAGAAATTCAATTATAATTTGTGTTACGGTTTTCGTTCGTCTATCTGTACCCAGGAACGACTTATTAACTTGATGTGGCCATAACGTGATAAACAACGTACTTCCTGTACCCTTCCTATTATGCATGTGAAAGCCTTTAGAATAAAACAAACACACCCACGTATCCACGTTGGTGTTCGTGATCACGAAACTTGAGGTGAAGGGCTCCTTTCACCTGGAAAAACAGGTGTCGCAGGTGTTTTCAACGTCGCAGAAATGGATTTTCCGGACGAGAACGATGTTTCCTTGTTAACTGCCGAACGATTGGCAAAGGTGGGACTCTCGTATCTTGCCTCAGGAGGACTGTAAGACATCACAACATCTTCGAAAGTGAAAATGTTTTTGTGTAATTGTACCTGGCCCAACCATCAAGCAAGCAGATACTGGTCTTATAATTAATATTTCTTCTAGTAAGTCACTGACCGAGTAATATGTTTGAACGGTTGGCAAAGGTTACACAGTCGGCACCTTGCCTACAAGGCTGATTCTTCTGTCTACAAGGTGTATATTTGTAAATAAGATAGTCACCACATCATTGAAAGTGAAAGTGCTTAAAAGAACTTGGTGGGTGGTATTTTTGTGTGATTTCTTGAGGCCACAATGCACTTGGCCCAAGGAAGGAAAGACTGCTTGTGGATCGCAGGGTTGAGGGTTCGAATCCTGGTGTACGTATCCTTGAGCAGTTCTAAACTCGATTTGCCACCTAATCTGTTGGTGTCAATGTTCCATGGGGGTTTCATGCTTCAGAGCTATGTTTTGGGGAGAACATATTTGAAAACTAGAAACTGGATGTCATCGATTACTGTGCACCTTAAACGAGGCATTCTGCCAAAGTGTAGGTAGTGTACTGAACAGCTCTGCAATTTTACCAGAGAGTGCACTAACCTGCAAATGCAGGTGGTATTTCCAACCATGTAGTGTGATATAATCTGACCAATTTGAAGGTTTTCTAATCTTATTTTCCATCTTTCTGCAGTACACGATTCATGATGGAAGGTTGACTAAGAACTGAGCTTTTTCAGCTTGTAACTTGTACCATTTAACTCTGAAGTTTTAAAACCCTTTGTTTTCTCCTTGTATAATCTTCCACAGTACACTGACCGTAGTGGGTCATTTAGTGGAAGGAATTAGCTTGTTGTTATAATCACCAGTGATTATTGTGATGTGAAAACTAAAAATTCTAACCTTCCTGCCATTTTTCCGCAGTACACGAGCCGAGATGGGAAGTGGAAGGACAGCTACGACCCTGAGCCGAACGCCGTCAGCCAGATGGACCTGGTCGACGATGGGGATGAGAACAAGGAGCGCGGGAACTGGTCCAACAAGGCCGACTACATTCTCTCTTGTATCGGCTACGCTGTCGGACTCGGCAACGTCTGGAGGTTCCCCTACCTCGCCTTCGAGAATGGCGGAGGTGAGTCCTTTTTTTTTCTTTATTTACTTCAATTTTCACCTGAAAACAAGGCTCATACTGGTCCAACAAGGCCGACTACATCCTCTCCTGTATCGGCTATGCTGTGGGGCTCGGCAATGTCTGGAGGTTCCCCTACCTCGCCTTCGAGAATGGAGCAGGTAAGACGTTGGCATCTCTTTGCTTTTGTCCACTGGTTAAAGGTTTTTATGGACTTGTTGAGAAGACTTTATAGTTGACGTCATCAAGTAAAGCTGTTAAATCATTGTCTTTCAAACCTGCCAAAGCTGCCAGGTTTACCAGCTTAAGCATTCATAAGGAATCTGATTACTACACAAAGTTTTGATCATGACTGATAAACAATCAACCTAGGCCCACATGTCCCAATGAAGATGACAGACGGTCATCAAAACGTCGCTTCATGTGAAACAGGTGGTTGTGAATAAAGTCAAGAACTTTGCTCTTAAGAGATCTATTCCATAGTATCATGTAGCTTGTTACACTCAGGCTTTTATATGCAGTTGTTGTTCGTACAATGATGGAATTTTTTCACAAAATATCATCAGCCATCTGTTAATGTTATACCTCAAAGTATAAGCTATACGAAGTTAGGAGCCTTTGTCCAGAGTACTCAGTGTTAAGTCCTGATGATTAAATCTAGTTGCTTTTTAAATTCCTCTTTCTTGCCTATGTAAAACTTTCTTGGTTCAGAAAAAAAATTTCAACCCATTGTTGTTGTGCCTCGGTAACACAAAGTTTTGCAACCAAGTAATTTGATGCTGGGGAACCAGAAGAATGAGTCAAACCATAGTTGTGTGACCTGAGGTCACTCTGCATAGTTGTTCTTCACACGTGTTGCCCGAAGGCATGAGTCAAAAGTTCACAATGTTGCAGTTGTCTGAATCAAACAATATTTGCACTAGTCTTGTGCAGCTTTCTCGAGCGGAAATGCCAACAATAAAAGTCATGCTGCAGAACCAACCCGTGTGCATAAATTGATCTTTTTTTTAAAACTTTACCATCAAACATGTCAGACATCGCGAAAACTGGACATTTCACGAGAATTCTAGCTGGTAAACCTGAATTATGGCAGGTTCGAAACTCGTAAGGATGATTTAACAATTTTGCTTCTTGACGTCAGCTGACGTCTTTTCAAGTCTTTAAAATGTTACCCTTTAACAATGTACAAAAGCCAGATGCCAACATTGTCCTCTTAGGCCACGCCAATTTGATTTCTTGGTTAACGGATTTTTGAAGAAAAATAATGGAGCGGGCGGGCGAAAAAAATAAAAAAATAAAAAATAAAAACAGGCCTAGGCATCCTATTATGGCCCAAAATGGTACGATAGGAGCCATGAAGTCAGCATACCAGGCTGGTTCAAAATTTAAAAAATGAATTTTGAACTTTTAATGATACCACTGCATTGAAAAATGGAATAACTGTGTTTTCAACTGTTCAGGGCAAAATATGAGCATTTTGCAGTTGATTCTGAATTTTTATTTTTATTTTTATTTGCAAATCAGAAAAAAATGAAGTGGGCGAATCTGTTAACCAAGAAATTAAATTGGTGTGGCCTTAGGTACATGTACTTAATAAGTGACTGCATGCTTTTAAGTGCAAGCAATCCGGTCCAATTTGAGTTCAGAGACGCAGAAACTACTCGGGAAAAACAGAGCTTTTGTCAGTTCTTAAAATTGAATCTTGTTTGAGATAGTAAAAAAATGTAAGGAAAAATTGGGAAGAAGTAGACTACTTTTTGTGAACTAAAAGAGTAAATTAGTCAAGTCAAAGTTTATTGCACAATGACAAAGTAGCCCCACCCATATCTTTGCGCTTTTGTTTTTTGTAATAATTTTAAATGTGAAAAAGTAAAAACAATGGGTAAGAAAACTGAAATTACTTTCCCTCCCCAGGAGCGTTCTTGATCCCGTACATCGTGATGTTGGTGTTTGCCGGCCTCCCCATCTTCCTGCTCGAGACGTCGCTGGGACAATTCGCCAGCCAGGGACCTATCCGTATCTGGCGTTGCCTGCCGCTCTTCCAGGGTACGAAAAGTCAATTATTAACAATTAACAAATTAATTAATTTATTGATAATTATCGTATGATGTTCGTGTTCGCCAATCTTCCTGCCGCTCTTCCAGGGTACGACTGTTATCAGTGTTACTGTTAACGGTGTCAGCAGGGCTTAACATACACACCTGAGTAAAATTTAAGACTGCAAAGACAAATACATAGCATAGATATGAATCACATCCAAATGAAAAATTTGACCATAAAATTTTGATGCATAATACCAATTTGCAGACTGTAAGCCTGCAAAAACATTATATACATTACAACTTTTATAGCTTAACAGAATTCAGGTGAATTCTACATCAAAATTGTGCAGTTTCTTTTCGTTTAGATGTGATCAGTATCTTTAATACACTGTGGTTGCAGTACTAGTAATTGAATGCTATGAGAGCTAAGGATGAACCAAGAACACATTTCCAGTGTCTGTAGTGTAACTTGAGCTTTTGTGGTAAAGAGTGTCTGAAAATGTATGATAGGTTGTGTCCATTGTTTTAGGTTAATTGGTTACACTCACATTATTGTCTAAAAGGTGATATGTAATATGATATGTCTTGTTGTTTTTAGGTATCGGTTACACTCAGGTCATAGCGTCTGCGCTTGTGGGAATCTACTACAACTGCATCATCGCGTACACGCTCTTCTACCTGTTCTCGTCTTTCACCTCTGACCTCCCGTGGAGAACCTGCGACAACACGTGGAACACCGGGGACTGCGTCGACACAAACTCGCTCAAAAGTAAGTCATGCATTTTTTTGAAATTAAATTAAATACTTTTCAGTTATGGAACAGGATTGTCTGTCTGTTTTTAAATAACTGTATATTGCAATTTTGTAGATACCTTGTAGATTGTCCAGTGATTCTGTCAAGTATTGTACATGTTTTTGTATGTATATTTGTGAATGAATGCCAGTAAGACTAGCAGTGCACTCTGGGGCACACTGCTAATGCTTATTCTGAATAAAGTTTTAAGGTTTCAAAGGAAGGAACTCACCACAAATTTTTGGTCGATCTCGTCAACCTTCGTCAGATGTATGATGCACGGAAATAGTCTCCAATTATCTGTGTGAAGGGTGATACATTCTTTTGCATTACATTAAATTCTACATTAAAACAAACCATTGCCTGAAAGGTTAATAATGTTTGTAGAATTTGGATGATCAGTTGTAGCTTAGCACTATGTATAACTCAAGAGCCCATAGGTGGGTCAAAATCAAAGATTTGGACTCCCTAGTGGCTCTCCTTGGTACTGAAATCGATGTGTTGGCTGTGATATCTCCTTATAAAGCAATGAACAAGCTATGCTGCTTCTGTGCCGTCACATTATGCAGATGGAACACATGATTTGGCAAGCAGTGGATCAGAATTTTAGTAGCAGAACGTTTGTGGCCCAGTAAAGGGATGAAAATGCTGTTGTTGATCTGACCTTCCGTTGTTTTTCCAGACTGGACTGGGAACATTTCGGACCGAGTCAGCCCAAGTGAGGAATACTGGGAGTAAGTACTGAACAATTTCTTTGTTTCTTTGATACTTATTTTACATAGGGGGCCGAATCTAAAAAAAAAAAAATCTAGTTAAAAGGGAGAAAAAGTGACTTTCACTTAGTTAAAGTTTGTGGTTAGAAATTGTGGTTTGTATACAGTTTAATTCCATATTTTGACTGCCAATTTTGCATTCCTGTTCTTCCGTTATTGCATTGAAAATTTATGGACACACAAGCAAACAAACCCCCCGATCAACCTAAGGTTACTAGAATATAATAATACTTGTTTGCTTTTTTTTGGAATAGCTACATCCTGTATATCACTCCACTGTATTCAAATGTGGGCACAAAAGCAAGAAAACTAATCTAAATACCTCCGTATATGAAAAGTTTACTATTTTAGTTTACTAAATTTTCTTGTTTTCTCGTGTTTTTAGTCGGTACATGCTGTCGCGCTCCGCTGGCATTGGTGAGCCTGTGACGGTGAAGTGGCAGTTGGCTCTCTGCCTCCTCCTGGCCTGGATTGTTGTGTACTTCAGTCTCATCAAGGGCATCAAGTCTTCAGGAAAGGTTGGTATTCTTGGTCATGATGAAAAGTAGATACTACTCAAAACATCCGACAGTTTTCGCTAATGAAAAGTAGTGGACGCTACTTGAAATGTCTGACAGTTTCCAAAATCTATCCAGTTGCTTGATGTCTGCATGCTTATTGGGATCCTTGAATCACACTCCAGTTAATATTTGGGGTTTTGATTTGAGAATGTACACCGTCAAGGCTAGTGACTGCCTCTTCCAGAGAATAAATTCTGATTCAATAATTAGCAAAATTAAACTGTGTATGGCATGAATAGAAAACATCGGGAACTACCAGAAAGTCTTTTCAACCTGAGCGAGAAATACGCAGTTGATGAAAAACCCACTGCCCTTATGGCCTGAAAATGCTAGGGTGTTATACTTCTTTACCTTACCATCACTCACTCACTCACTCACTATCCAGGATTTGATAATACTGCTGCTGTTGTCCCTGCCACAGGGGTCGGCAGCAGTCGGTACTATCTGAGTAAGAAATGATTAATTGGTTGATGGATTGATCGATAGGTGGATTGTTAAAGATTGATAAAGGGTATTGATGGATTGATTGATTGATCTGGCCCTCCCAGGTTGTGAAATACTGAAACATCAAGACACACAATTATATATAGTGTTTATAAGCAACCAACTGCCCCTAAGAAGTGATATCATTTGCCTTTGCCTATTGTAAGAAATAATTGATAGATCGATAGACTGATTGATTGATTGATTAATACATTGCTTGATCTGCCCCTCCCAGGTTGTGTACTTCACGGCTACCTTCCCCTACGTTGTCCTCCTGATCCTGCTGATCCGCGGAGTCACGCTAGAGGGCGCTCTTGAGGGCATCAAGTTCTTCATCGTACCAAAGTGGTCCCAGATCGCAAACGCAAAGGTGGGTTCACCGTAACTTGGCCGTTATATTCCATGTACTTTTTTTTTACATGTGTTTATGGCACAATTGGTTACCTTGGTTGGTCCAAAATTGTGTCTTAATTTTGTTGTTATTGTCAAGGACTGTTAGTGCGCACAAAATGTATGTCGGAAATGTGAAATAATGATGCAAATATGTTGAATGAAAAGTGATACTTACTGTTGATGACATCAAGATTTTATATGATTTGGATATTTCAAAATTTTGCATAATAGCCCTTTGTTGTTGATTGATATCTCTAGTTCTGAAATCTGATAACCACAATTGCAGAAGCTTTTTTTCTGCAGTAATTTTAGCTATACAAATGCATGTCTCGGTACCTATATGTGCCTGTAACTTGTGCTGTATGGAAATGAACATGTTGCTGCAGTACCATTTTCAAACAGCAGGAGGCACTGCTGCATGGTGACTAGGTAACTGCAATTCACACACAAATCACTAGAGGTCACTGCTGCACTGCTAACCTATTGTTCCCTTGTCTGCAGGTATGGAAAGATGCTGCTGCCCAGATTTTCTTCTCCCTGTCGGCTGCATGGGGAGGACTGCTGACTCTGGCCTCCTATAACAAGTTCAAGAACAACACCATTCAGTAAGTATCTGCATTCCTCCGTGAATAGTTTCATCAGGTTGGTAAGACACTGAGTAAAGAGACAGTCACTCTTTTTACACAACCAAGTCTTTTATTCAGCCGGCGTTTCCGTGACTTTCTGTCACCTTCCTCAGGACTGGTTCACATTGCGTCGCAGCACAGGTGTCACTGCTTCAGATGCAGCTGGCATTGTAGATACATTTCCCTGTAATCCAATCACGCATACATGTATGTGTAGATATGTAAATATTGTACATTTGGGAATGCATCTGTGGCTGCGTCATTTGGTTGCCCATAAGCTCCTTGAGAGACTAAATTACTAATAATCCTTTTCTTAAAATCATTTTGCGTTGTGGCTTGACAGTTTGTTCTGTTTTGCTCCTCAGTGACGCGCTGATTGTGGCCTTGACCAACTGTGCAACGAGTGTGTTCGCCGGTTTTGTTATCTTCTCCATCCTCGGTCACATGGCTCTGAAACTGAACCTAACCGTGCCGGAAGTCGCAAAATCAGGTGAGATTAGTCTTTTTTTTCATACAAGTAGTTATGTTTAACTTCGCAGAAGGAAACATATTGTTTTTGCTCATAGTAAGTCTTCTTTTTTTCATAGTAGTTATGTTTACCTTCGCAGACAGAAACATACTGTTTTTGCTCCATTTCTTCTTCTCAGCGCTACAATATCGGGGAAGAGGGAATGTCTTTTCTACTTCTGTTTGGTTCTTGTTTCCTTTGAGTACTTCACTGTAAAATTGAAATAAAATTTCTTGGAAGAAAAAGATTTTTTTAATAGTATTATGAGTTCTCTGGTACTGACCTGGCCTGCGAATGTGAGCTATTATTCGCCAAAAAGCAGTGAGCTCTTAGTATCCATTTATGAATCAATGTGTCCTGAAAGTAAACCTTTATCTGACAGTGTATAGGAGATTCTACCAGGTTTTGGTCAGAAAATGTACTAAAAACCTTGTCCATCTTCTCCAGGTTTTGGCCTGGCGTTTGTAGCATATCCGGAGGCCCTGACTCTGCTGCCAGTCTCACCACTCTGGGCCATTATCTTCTTCCTCATGCTCTTCACCCTCGGATTGGACAGTCAGGTAAGCAAGCTTTTTCGAATTGGCCAATCACAAAGTGGTGCATTGATTCCCAGTCCTCTGATTGGGCGGTCGGGTAGGGACACTTTCAAATCTGCCAATCACAATGTGGTACAATCACATACCAGGGCACTGATTTTAATTAAGTTGTACCTTTTCACCCTGTCATTGGACAGTGAAGTAAGCACTTTTTCAAACTGGCCAATCACAAAGCAAATGCATTGATTCCCTGCCCTCTGATTGGGCAGTCAGGTAAAGACGCACTCAAATTGACCAATCGCTGACTGGTACATTTATAAAATCAGCCTGTCACAAAGCACTGACACTCATTAATGACTGTATGTTATACTTACATACAATGTTGTGTAAATCATTTTGTAACTGGTGGAAAGACAAAGTCTATTTAGTAATTAAAACTAAAACTGGATTAGAATATAATTTTTCTGAATCTTCTCCTCAGTTCACGATAGTGGAGACGGTTGCTACGGCGATCTGCGACGGCTGGCCGACGCTGTTGAGGCAGAAGAAATGGCTGGTGATGCTGACGATCTCCGTGTGCTGCTACCTGCTCGCCATGCCCTGCCTCACACATGTACGTATGCTGCTTCTTCTAATCTTTCCTCATAGTATGCATAGCATGCATAGCCCTAGCCCTTAAGCCCTTAAGCCCTTAAGCCCTAACCAAACCCCAACCCTAACCCTAACCCTAACTCTAACTCTAGCCCTAGCCCTAACCCTGGCCATGCCCTGCCTCGCACATGTACGTAAATCTTTCCTTGTAGTGTTCATTATTAAGTTAGTTTAGCCCTAGCCCTAGCCCTAACCCCAACCACAACCTCAACAGTTACTGTAACTCTAACCTTAGCCCTAAGCCAATAGCCCTAACCCAAGCCCTTAAGGTAGCCACAGGGCACTGCTGGTGAATTTTGGGGAGGTATCAAAAATAGTACTTAGACTTAAGTATGGATCTTGATTTTTTTTCTCCAAGTACCTGATTGCAAGATGATAATTTATGCAAATTTTTATGACGTCATGATGACGTAATCAATAGTTATAGGCCACGCCCATTTCTACAAAACATTAATTTCCCTGGCTAACGACTCAATTTCCACGGCTAATATTTTGGTCAGATGTGCATAATGGTGGTTTCAATCAAAACACAGGAGCTTTTGTACATATATATCAAAATAGATTTTTTGTGAATTTTTTAGTGTAATTTTAATGACACCGACTATTCTGGGCCCTCGCCAGCGAATGCAGCAACGCAAGGCGTATGCCGCCCGTAGATTGAAAGTTCGGGTGGTAAACCTCCCGAAAATGTTGTTTTTTCTTCCTTCTTATGTGTAGTTTTCCCATAGTTGTGGCCTAAAATTTTGTCCAAGATCAAGTAATGCAGAAATATACCTCTGTCGGTCGTAAAAAGACGCAAATGTCCAGTTTTTTTGGCCAGTTTTCCACGCGCCGATCACTTCCGGGAAATAGCAGGTCAATGACCTTTCGTACTCACTCGCTGGCACGCAAAACAGCTTTGTTAGCAAGCAGCTACCTCCAGGGGGAGGAAAATTGAACAGCCAGCCACGCTTACCCAATAGTCACGTGACGCGATCCAAGATGGCGGACCCTAAATTGTGGAAAGCGCAGGGGGCTCGGGGAACGGCGGATAGCGGAAAGAAAGCTCGGTTCGCTAGACTTTCACGTTGTGGAAACGAAGCCCAAGGAGTTGGAGAAGGTGCTAGGACCTTAGTAGGAGCACAAGTTGTGAGCCACCCGTTGGATACGATGTCGCTGGCGATTACAACTCCTGGCAAACACATAAGTCGGGGGCAAATTATGCCGCTGCCGCAGAAGTTTTGCGAGAAAGGTGGTCCGGGTCGGACCCCATGTGATTTATACGCCTTTTATCGATACTACGGCAGTAGATGAGAATTTCTTATCCATTATCTGAGATAAATTTATGATCTACGTAGTCCTGACTCTTCGTAATTGTTTAGAATTTCTATTGTTCTGGCGCCATGGCGTGTAAATTTTGCATAGCATTTGAACTATTTTTCGGTTCGCACATACTTTGTGTTTATGCCCCATGCACGTGCATACTTGTGTTTGTGCTATACATGTGGGTACTTGTTTTTTTTTGTATTTATGCCATACATATGTAACCCGTTACGTGTATTTTTGCTATACATGTGTACTTTTGTTTTTGCCATACATGTGGGTACTTGTGTTTGTGCCATACATGTGGGTACTTGTACGGCTGCAAGAAGGCTTGTTATTGTTTGTTCGTATACTGTATTGTTTCTCTAAAAAAAACAGTCTACTACTACCACTTGTGTTTGTGCCATACATGTGATGTAAAGGATCTACCGCCGATTGTAATGTATGCGCTACAGCGCGGTCTGATTGGTCAGGCTGTTACAAAACTGGCATCACCCCCCCCCGACCAGGGAGTTGGAAACTGCAAGACAGTGCAAATTTTTGCACTTGAATTTCGCGGGCAAATGGCAACATATGGGGGAAAGGATGCCAGATTACGAAAATAGAGTTACATAGCTACTAGATTAGATGGTTGTTTTTATGAACAGCTTATTATGAAATTTTGGCTCAGCGGCTCTCAGCACTACCCTGACCAAACCTTAAGCTGTAGCCCTAACCCCCACTCCAACCCTAGCTGTAACCCTAGCCCTAGCCCCAACCCTAACCCTAACCCCAACCCTTACCTTAACCCTACATAGCCCTTAGCCTTATCCCTAGCCCTAACCCTAGTTCCACTCTGCAATAGTTCTAGGAAAGAATGAATTCTTGAACACCTCAATCCTTGGTTGATAACTCTGGTACTTGAAAGCATGGCTATTTCTTGTTCTCTTCTGGGCTGGTATTAGGTACTTAATGGTTGGGACGTCCACCAGTTCATTTCTGACACGGTTTTGTTTCTCCCCATGTAGGCTGGCATCTACCATGTTGTGCTGATCGACTCCTATGCCGGCACCTACCCCCTCATCATCGTGGCTATCATGGAGTGTATCGGCATCTCTTACCTCTACGGTAGGTACAACCAAGTTGTTCACAAGAAGATACATAATTACCTTACCTATACCTTTACCTAGTCTCATGTCTGAGGGTCGGGGACTATGGTGGCATCCAGTATCAGCCTCCTCCACTCCCTCCTGTCTCTGGCCCTGTGAGAGCACTCAGCCAGTGGCATGCCCATCCAGTCATTACTTGATCGTATTGTGCATTTTAAGTAGCAATGGCAATATTTGTTGAACTAAAGAACTAAAGTGGCTTTCTAGTGGGAAGGCAAAGAGAGAAAATGCAGAGTTCACCAGTCCTATAAGATATATGAAAAGCTTTGAAAACATGCGTATACTGTCAAGCCTGTCCAATTTATTACTACCCTCAAATCTTTTCCATTGGCTGACTATCCCTCTTTCTTCCTTCCTGAACCCCTTTGCATGATGCTAGTCCTGATGACCGTGACATGTAGCCATACCACTTCAGTTTTCATTTCTTTACTGTGGTTAGAACTCAGGTCTTTTTATTGGCATTAAGATCTTAGTTAAGATAACATAACACTTAAGAAACTTATAGAAACTGAGACAGGCTTGGAGGGCCTGGAACTTATTTCAGCAATGAACGACAAGCAGTTCTGGAGATCAAACTTTGTCCGCTCAACCTCTTCGGAGGATGAATGATGATGATGATGAAGTATGTTCAGTGTATTCTATTCATGAATGAGGAGGATGACAATTTTTTTTTGCTCCCTTCCAGGACTGAGACGTTTCTGTAAGGACATTGCGATGATGGCCGGATATCAGCCCAACTACTACTGGCAGGCAAACTGGGCCTTCATCACACCGGCCCTGCTTACTGTGAGTTCTCGTTTATTCGTCTTTCCCTCTTTCCCTACACGACATGAAAAGTGGGATTTGTCAATGACAACATTAGGCCACACCAATTTAATTTCTTGGTTAACGGATTTTCTAGAAAAAGGACTGTTTTCAACTGTTCAGGGCAAAATATGTGCATTTTGCATTTGATTCTGATTTTTTTTTTGCTAATCAGAAAAAAAAATGAAGCGGGCAAATCCGTTAACCAAGAAATTAAATTGGTGTGGCCTTATACCAAGTAATGGTTGCTTTGGGTGCCACATGTCCTGTGTGTATATGATTACTGAGGGAGGGGTAATGACTCAGTAAATCACGCTTTTAGGGGGGCCTGCAAGGGGAGGTCCCGACAACGCTCTACGCTGAATTTGGAAACCTCTCGATTACACTTTACGATAAATTCCAAGTGGCTACAACGCATTATGTAGACTTAAAACAGCGAATACGCTATGCAAAATGCGCAATTACGCTCTACGCTGAATTAGAGCGGCTCAAATATGCTTTACATAGAATTAAAACGGCCAATTATGCTCTACGGAAAAATCATGTCAAGTTGCTTGAGTAACAGTTTTTTTTGCATTTCTCCCTGTTCCAGTTCGTTCTGATCTTCAGTTTTGTGTTTCACAAAGACGTGACATACGGCACATGCACCAATGTTGAACATGACTTGTACAAAATACCCCTTACAAACTAATTTTCTGTCCTGAATTGGAGTGAAACATGAGAGTCAAAAATTCCCTGATGTGCAAGTTGCACCTGACCGCAAAGTATGTAGAGGACCAGTGGCAGATCTCATGATGTACATGACAGTTTTGTGTTTCACGAGGACGTGTCATGTGGCACGTGCACCAATGATGAACACGACTTGACTGTACAAAATTTTATACACATTATACATTTATGTACAGGGTTATACATTTATGTACTGGGTTAAAATTAACATTGAGTTCTGAATCTCTTGCCCCTCCAGTTCGTCCTGATCTTCAGTTTCGTGTTTCACGAGGATGTGTCCTACGGCGACTACACGTACCCGCTCTGGGCCGTTACCCTTGGCAACCTGATTCTGGTCTTCTGCGCCATCTGGATCCCCGGTGTGGCCATCTTCTGGCTCATCGTCACTCCAGGGTCGTTCTGGGAGGTAATTCAAGGATTTTCTGTCATAGTCTTGTAGAAGAAGGTTATTGCCTGTATCTGTCTGTATCTGTATAGCCGGTATAACCGCCTTTCGGCGTAACACACCACTGTCTGTGTGTGTGTGATGACTGTGTGTGTGCGTGTGTGCCTGTGTGTGTGCGTGTGTGTGTGTGTGTGTGTGCGCGTGTGTGTGTGTGTGTGTGTGTGTGTGTGTGTGTGCGACTGTGTGTGTGTGTGTGTGCATGTGTGTGTGTGTGTGTGCATGTGTGTGTGTGTGTGTGTGTGCGTGTGTGTGTGTGTGTGACTGTGTGTGTGTGTGTGTGTGCCTGTGTATGTGTGTGTTTGTGTGTGTGTGTCATAATCTTGTAGAAGTTTAAAAACTTTCTTCCTAGAATATAGTATGCATACTATATTAGTCCAGTGGTTAGTATCATAGCTTACGGCACCTGTACCATTGATCAGAAGATATAGTTCATAGTGGACTCAGAGAGCGATGCATTCTTCCTCCTTCCACTTCTCTCTGCACATGCCTAACTTTATGCTGTCTGTAAGCTCTGTTAAACAGTAGTTACAAAATGCACTTCCGTCAAGGAGGATACAAAGTTGATTCCTATTGAAATTTTAGTTGAAAACATGTAGTAAACTTATTCTCTAACAGACCTTTGTCACAACCAGTTGTCAGAGCCAAACTTGCCTGTTTCCTGTCACATTATGTTTACATCTGTTGTTTTCTTCCCTTCCAGCGTCTGCGTAAGGTGACGTCCCCGACAGACACGTGGGGCCCTCACCTGCCCCAGCACCGCGACGAACGCTACGCCAACATGGCCAACCCTTCCGCTGGCATCGGCGCCAAGTACACACCCAACGACGGCACAAAGCTTTAGACTGCACTACCAACATGTACTAGGCTGCCGACTTGGACAGAGTTAAGCTAGCTTCCAAAAAATGACTTATTGGTTTCTGAGACTGACTGACGGTTGAATCTTGGCATGACAGCACAACATTTTAGGCCCTGCTGTCATTGACACATAGGATTCTGACTGGGACAGAGTTAAGCTAGCTTCCGACTATTAAAGGTCTTGCCTGCTCTAGATTCTCTTCAGCAACCTGAATTTCTGCTGGAAAAAATGACTTCTTCGCTTCTGAGATTGACTGAGTTGAATCTTGGCATGATGGCACAAAACTTTAGACCATGCTACCAACATGTAGGCTTCTTACTCAAGGGACAGAGTTAAGCTAGCTTCCGTCTATGGTCTTGCCAGCTCTAGATTCTCTTCATCAAACTGAATTTCTGCTGGAAAAAATGACTTCTTGGCTTCTTAGATTGACTGAGTTGAATCTTGGCATGACGGCATAAAACATTAGACCGTGCTACCAACATGTAGACTTCGGACTGGGACAGAGTTAAGCTAGCTTCCGACTTTGGTCTTGCCAGCTCTAGATTCTCTTCAGTCATATCTATTTCTGCTGGAAAGTTGACTTGACTTGCCTTCTGAGATTGACCGAGTTGAAATCTTCTTCTTATCATACAAAGAGGTAAAGTTTGTCTGGCAAGTTGAGGAAATGGTTGTAAGTTTTGCCCAAATGTGCAACAAAATTTCTGTTGCCTGGAGGGTCAAAATGAAGAATGGTGCTCTGAGAATCTATGCTTCAAATACTAAGAAATGGAATCCTAACGTGTCAGAAGCTAGTTTAACTCTGCCTTAAAAAGCAAGAAAACAAAACAGAAAACAATTGTTATCTACTGAAAGAGGTGAAGTTCCATGCAGGTTCCCGTATCTACATCATTATGAATCATTAAGTCTGTGTCTTTGGCCTCTTTGAAGCCAGGCTTTTGCCAACGTTGGAAATTTTGCTGCTCAGACCAGGCTTAAAGTTTTAACCAATCTTACAATTCCCGTATTAGGAGCAAATCAGAGACTGTGCTAACAAAAATTGGAAAGACTTTGATCAAGCTATGCCTGGTGCAGAGTTTTAAAGTCCGATAAACTCCAAAGAACGTGCAAAAGCCTTGTTTTAAAGAGCCAGTGCTGATGGAATGTGACGGTTACTCTACAGCTGAATAATATGAACTGTTGTCTCGACTGCTGCTGACAGTATTGTATCCTGTGATGACCACTTGCGCCTTAGAAAACACAAACTTCGCTTTAGGCTTTAGTTTCTCTCCGAACCAGGTCTTTGAAACGAAGCGAAAATCGAAAACAAGGAGCTGAGCTTTTTACGAAATCGAGTTCGGATTGACGAGACCTGGAATCTGAGTTTCATGTCCCAAATTTGAGTCCTCCGTGGTTGCGTACATGTATAGCAAGCTCTGCATTTAGGCTTTACCACAGAAAGAAAAACAAAAATCTAGTGCCATAGGGATATTTTCCATTCTAACAAAAATGCTTAAAATGAAAGCTTCATGTCTGGAAATGCCAAAAAAATTTTGCTGTACTAAAGTTAGTTTTTGCTGATGTATGTATATATTTGTAAGATGCTTTTCTTTTTGGAGACTGTACTTACAATTCATTTTAACCCTTATCCTGCTGCATTTGCTGTGACCTGTACATGTGGGGTACAGTGATGCGTACTTAGAAGAAAAAGGGTTAAAGTATGATATTGTGTGTCAGTTGGTGCAGGGTTTAAGGTACATTCAAAATTTTATTCAAATTTCCATTCCATCACCAACTTCTAAATTACCAGCCAATTCCTCAAAGTCATCCTCCTAATGGACCCTATGGCCAGCAATGGAACAGTCTGAAGGCAACAAGAAAACATTACAGACCATACCACTCTCGTCTTCATGGGGGTGGATAGGGCAGAGCAAATTAAATCTTTGTGTAGGCACTGATGCTGCTAGGTACAGTAACTGTGTATAGAAGTGTGCATTCAGTAGAACTAAAAGAAGTAGCAATATTGTGCCAGTGCTAAGGCATGCCTGACTTGCACACTCAACGTAAAAATCATGAACAAACTGTTAAAAAACTGATCAGAAACTTTCAAACACTAAACCAGACTTTCACATTCAACGTAAAAATGAAGACCAAACTGTTAAAAATTTCATCAGAAACACTCAAACGCTTGGAAGCTTAAAGTACTTACGAAGAAAAACATTCCTAAAATTTGCTGAGCCATCAGAAAAATACAAAAACAAAAACAATTTGTACATATCAGACTCTTCGTCAGTTTGTGGCCATTGCTGTCAACAAAAGATCAGAATTTCTGCCTTGTACAAAGATGCCTGAAAAAAACAACTGCCATATCTGAGCAAAGACTCGAGTCTTGAAACAGTGGAGACTCTTGCTAAGATAAAAATGCTTCTATTAAACAATCATAGAAGATATACTTTCAACAAAAGAGTCACTAGTGATAGTATTTTTGTACGTTCACTTTCCGTGGCCAAAGCAAGTCTTATTTTTATCGACTTCCCCGGATATAGCTTTTGCGTATTAGCCCAGCTGTTGGTCTATATATAAATATATGAATATACATAATATACATATATGGAGGATGTATATTTTCTACTGCCCGTAGGTGAAACGATTTTGCTCTTGTTGATGCTATTTATCGAGTTCAGATGGTCGGTGAATATAACATGTGAGCACATAGACTATATATTGTTCAACATGCTTCCAAATGTGTAGTTGTGGTCAAGAGTACCAAATGTATAGTTTAAGAAGCCACAGCCACACAAATAGGTGCATCATCAGTATCTGTGCTGACATCATCGAATCATGTGCACGGCTTTGTCACCATCATCAAATGACGTCATGTAAGAGATGTAGATATGCGATCAGTAAAAAGAACACTTTTAGAAAAAAACAACAGATAATCAGAAAAATGGGTGAGGCAGGTGAACAGAAGATCAACTGTATTATTTGTGATTATTTTTTGTATGATGCTTTTGCGAGAGGATGTCTTGTTAAGTTTGCCCGTCTTCGAATGACGTTGAGCGTAAGAAATGTGAAGTAAGGATGTCTTGACAATCATTAGTAAGTTTGTGTGTTGTAGGATTATATATATATAGCGGTGTATTCAATCATAAAGGTCCAAAGTTTAAACATGAGTATCAGTAGACTATATTATCTATGCAGCAAGTTTATTGTACCCAACATGATGTAAAATCACACCGTGTGTGCGGCTAGCATGTATATTTTCTGCTGCTCTCAATTTTATTCACTCGTTTTTACCCATGTGAATTGGGCATTATATTTGTTAGGGTGCGTTTTTAGCTGAAATAAATGTGAGGAAAATCCATTGCCTTTGTGTACTTATTCAGTGTTAGTATGTATTGTAGGAGTTACATTGACTGTCTTTTTTTGCTTGTTGGTGTGGGTATCACTCTATCGTATCCTTTTTCGGCATGACTTATAAGTCACCAACCAACAAACCGCAAAATCATAAACTTTTATTATAATGTTACAATCCGACACACGAGTACAAAGCCACAGTTAAAAGCTACTTAATTAAGTTGCAATATCAAAAACCACTTCCCTGCAAGGTTTGGCGTACAAGACGGATACAGACTTTAGTTACAAGAAAGCAGCTGAAGCACAATAGTAGCCGATAGCGCCTATAAAGTACGTCTATCATAGACAAGCAAAAATTACCAGAAAATGAATGAATTGACCCAAGAAATTGGCAAAGTGCACGTGCCCTTAAGGCGGGTAATCATGTATTTAGTTGATGGAGGTCCATTGCTACAGTTTTTCTTAGTTTCTAGTTTACATTCAACGTTGGTTCATCATGAAAAGACAATGATTGTGAGGACGTCCCCTTACTTGAAATTCTGTCCTGTGAAAATGATGATTCTCGGAACGATTTATTCAGATTGAAAGACAGACAATCATGATAAAACTTTGTGCCGCAACAAAGTAACTGTACAACTCTTCAATAAAATCTACAACTCTCTTTCCACAATCAATTGCTAATTGGCCCCTAACTCTCTCCATAACCTTGCCATAACCTCTATTTACATTGTTCTTCACCGCTATTACAATTTTCCAACAGTTTCAAGTTTACATAGAAGTTTTATTGCAAATTCATGCCCTAGGGCTAATTGCACGAACAGAAGAAACATTTGGTATAAAAACAGATAATTAGTACACATAGAACTACTGATAACTGAGATAACTAAGAAAGTACTAGTAAAAACTACTGGGTTTGACTTCTTTTTACATGTAACGTTGGCTCATCGTAGAAAATGACATGTACAGTGAGGAAATTCCTTATCGAGTTCCCTTACTATGGACACTTCCCCTAACGGTTTATTGGAAGATGCTCAAAACGCTCTAAGCATGAACATGTGTCAACTGTCTTCTCATGGTATGTATTCAATTGGCACCCAACCATACCCTTGTTGAGTAAACTGTATTACCTTTGACTATCACAGATGCGTTGCTACAGACAAAAACCTGCATCTAACAATGTTTACACGAGACCTGATTGGTTGAGAGCAATACTAGGCTAGAAAAGTACAAGATGTCTTTCGCTACTTTAAGTATCAGGATTACTTCAGTTGATACCTCAGTGGACCGCTGACGAGGATCGTCGAGTCAGGTGTTACACTAATGTTTCTCTCACCGTTGCTGCACGGGCTGTACCTGCATGTATAACCAACATTTCTGTCACTACGGTTAATATCAAACATGTAATATATTGGGAAAATTGTTTGAACCCCCCCCCCTCTCCGGATGACCTGAAAAAAAAAGGAATAAAAGAAGGCCTGAAATGGAATGTGATGTTAGGCGTGTATCAAAATATGATGAACAGGCAATAAAGCTGTTTTATCAATTGTGCTTATAATTCATTCAATAATCTAGTCATTTACAAGTAAATCAAATACAAGCATATTAGCAGGGAAAATGATCTTGCTAAATTTGATAGACGCCAATATGATGTCGACTGTTACCTTTTCGGCGGGCAGTTTCTTCTTGTCCCCTTGCCGGTGGTGGACTCAGCCTGGTGGCACAAGACAATAGAGATGAATTATCCACGACCACTTGCTAGGCGCCTCAGCCTCATATTATAACGTTGTAACAAATTTTACAAAACAAAACAAAGATAGAAAAAATAAAACTCATAATGTGGCTGGGGACAAATTCACTCATGTTTCTGCTTTTTTGGTTGAATATTAGGTCCAAAATTTACAAAATCACTTGCATCGAGCAACGCATACCTACCCATAGTTTGCAACTTGTTGTGGATATTTCTTCAACTCATCCACGACGCTCTGCAGCCCTGCCTCTGACAGAGCCTCCATCAGGACCTCTATGGTAGCGGCGTCTCCCTTCTCCTTCTTCCATTCCTGCAGCATGTCCATGCAGCGGGACTTGTCGTCGCGGTTTCTGCCGGCAATGTTGTTGATGTCGGCCCTCTCAAATCCAAGATGGAAGGCCAAATCTTGCCAATCCGAGCTCACGTTTTCCTTGATGAAATAGAATGTCTTCCGAATGTCTGAAAAATAAGATTACACAGTGTAATTTTTGGGAAACGTACTTGTGGCATTAAGTGTGCGTGGCTTCACGTGGCTTGGTGATAGCATATAGCGGCAGACTGTCACGCTGATCAGATCAAATCATCAGACCTATAACGAAATGTTGGCAAAACAAATTAAAAGAGTCCTTTTATCGAAATTTATTGAAAATGTATGTTGGTGACGTTAGTTGTCTTTTGAATTATTATATGTAATTAAATAATTTGTCTCACCTTTCAAAGTACTGCCGTAAATCGCCCCCTCTGTACTCTGGAAAAACAAACATGCCAATTATTACCAGCTTGTCGTTTTACACTATCTCTAACAGATTAAAAAGCACAGGAATGATACTGACCACTTTTGGAGTGTGATACGGCACATGGATTGGAAGCTGGCACAGCAACTTTGCCTCCAAAACGTCTGGTGCTTGTGGATTCCCCTTTTTGTCGTGTGCCTTGCGCAAGAAGGTTATCCTTCTCTTGATGTTTCTATCTTCCTCTGTAAGGACTTCAACGAGTGGTAAGGCATGGAACACAACAAATCCTTCGCCATCTAAAGCCCTTTGCCCCCCTTTGTCCGCCAAAGCCATGACCTGCATCTGAAGACGATTGACTCTACGCTGACTGTGAAAGGTGAGGTGTTGTGTCTCATCGCTCTCTGGACTGAAGGGCGCGACCGATACGTTTCCCTGGACGGTCACTAGCACTTTTTGTCCTTGAAATAGCCCCACGGATTCAGAAGGTAGAGGACCTGTGTAACCCTTTTGAATGAGCGATGCGCTTTTCTTTTCTGCATCGTCAGCAAGTGTGCATTCTATGACGACGTGTTTCATGTTGTCCGCCTGCTGCAGTAACAAGAACTGCACTGGGCTTTGTTGAAGCCATTTGCAAAGACTTGAGAGGAAGGGTTCCAGCACTTCTTCATTACCGTAGCGGTCCACAAGACTCATTACAATCCATCTGGAAATGAGAAATACAGGACAACGTTTTAAGGAACAGGCTTCAGTGACAAAGCCTTTCAAAGGCATACTGGTAGATTTTTTTATCTCGTAATTTGACGTTTTCTGTATATATTTAGTGACCATAAGATTACCTGGTGAAATGAGTAACTTCAAACTCCACAAACTCCTGTGTAACCCGGCTGATAGTAACGTTGTCTGTCACATCAATCCAGTCTTCTGTTCCCTCCTCACATGACATCACCCTCAGTTTGGTGGGCCCCTCATGTTGGATGTCCATGTAGTGTTGAGGATGTGGGACTCGCACTGTGACCGGTTTGTGGAACTGGACTTCGGAGGTCGACACAGTCTCGACATTGACTATCGGGCTGGTGCCAACAAGGTTGATGAAAGACTGGTCCTTTGCCTTGATGTTCTCAATTGCTCTTGTTGGAATCTCTTGCACCTACGATTGAAATGAACTTCTGAGTTCGTTTTACAATGTAGATTCAAGAACTAGGTAAGTATACAAATGTTACTTTATTACTACTTACTACACTTTACTAAATGAATTAATTTAGCGACAGAAAATGTGGGAATGTTTGCGTAATATCTATCAGGACAGTGGCCATCGAACGTTCTTCAAGTTACTAGTACTTCATTAAATCCTTACCTGAATTGAAACAGGTGTCTCTGTAGTCACAGCCTGTTCCGGGAAGCTGATTTGTACCGCAGGCTGGGTTGATGACGTCAGAATGCGCCCTGCTTTGGGCACAATACACTGGTCCTCTTTGGGTTGACTGATGACGGCAAAGATGGAGAAGTGATCCACTGATACGGAAAGCTTGTATTTGCTCTGAAATGAAATACATTATATGTTATAGAGGACGGTCCGGATCAGGCATCAGTAGTCATTCTAGTGTCCAACATCTATGTTTGTCTATGAATCTATGTGATTATAATGCCTATTTCTTTACTACAGGATTTAGTATGAAAACAAGGAGAAGTCGTAGACATCATCCCTCCATGAAATAGCTTGTTATTTTGTAATCTTTTGGTGTATTTCAATAGAGATATTATGAGTCAAACTTTGTTTTTATCAGCAGAATGATTTGTGGTGGCACTTTGTATTTATCAAGCTGTCATGTGCAGGCGTTTAGTGTCTTGTTACCATGGTTTGTTTACTTTGATGGCCAGCAGGTCATTTGCCTTAGCCTGGGTACCATCCCCAGTAGTATATTCGCAAACTCTATAACTGTTATAGAGTTTGCGAATATACTACTGGGGATGGTACCCAGGCTACATTTGCCTGTACATGTAGGTCAATGACCAGACAGGCAAATGACCTGCAGACCAGACAAACAAGATTTATTTTCCTGCAGACTTTGTCTAGGGGTAAAAATAGATAGGGCTGCCTGGGTCTGACCTGCCAGCTGGAGGTATAAACAAAAACACTCTGTCCCAACTTTTGGGTCAAACAGACCATCCTATCATGAAGTAGGGGTGAAAAAGTGAAAATCCTTTTAAATTAAGCAATAAAAATATGCGACAACCTTCTAATGCACTCCAAAACACAAAGAGACTCAACAACTACCCACATACCAAAAATCATACCAAACCATCCCCCAGATTTTCCAAACATTCAACACAAAAAGTCCAACATTAAACATTTTGTAAATATCAAACGCAAACAGCTAGGGGACCCAAATTTAAACCACTAAACCATGGTAATAACAACTACATGCTACCTTAATATCGCACAAACAGTCCATAACGCGAAAACAACAGAATAAAAAAATTAAACTGCAGTACCAAGGTCAATCACCAGGGGCTCAAAGTCAACCTACACAATCTCCAAGGCCCCATCCATCAATCTGCCAAATATCGTACAGTTCCTTCTCACCGATCTTCAGATATCAGACCAAACATGAAACGGAGTAAAAACAGTACCCCCATTTTCATGGAGGGTAATTATGTTTCTCCACGTACTTCTTTAGTGGTTTTGAGTTTCGTCCAATGTGCCCTGTCCTCAGTGACCCACACGGCAGCTTCCCTGGCGCCATCTAACGACTTGCTGCTGTACTGCATCTGCACAGTGACAGGTTTGCGGAAGGTTGTCCCGTGCGGACCCAGCTCTATGACGTCACTCACTAACATCTCTCCGTCCTTCAGGGGGAGAGTGACGTCATTGGGGCTGATGACCTGACAGGTGATTTCTGTTTCCATGGTAACGGCTCCAGGAGGTAAAGAGACGGTGCAATGCGCGGTTTTCAGGTTTCCTCCTTCTGGGCCCATTTTCAGCTTGTTGGTGAAAGGACTGTGAGAGAACGTGAAATTCCATTATACACCTCGCATAAAAAGGAATGTGTCTACAGAATTACCAATCCAATGAGTGGCTTCACTCAGTATGATGGATAATGATGTTGTCACTTGTATCACATGAATATTTGAAGCAAAGTATGTGTAAAAGTTTTATAGAAATATACTATTACCAACAATAAGCATATCAACCAACACAGATGAACTTTCATGCTAATATTATGTCTGTTTTAGGCTAGTATTCTAAGCAACCCTCTTCTGCAGATTAGACGTGAAATAATAAACTAGTAAATATAAGTAAAGTGAAGTAAAAGTTATGGTGTGTGTTTCTAGTAACTGCTATGCTTTACCGATATTAGAACATTATTATTGGAATTCTCAGATTGCTTACTTGTACAGTCGACAACGTTTTGACCAATAATTACAATATGGAAATATTTCTTGTTCAAGATTTATAGATTATATGGGAAATGGGCGTCTTCGAATGTTAGGCTTCACAAATTTTAAATGGACAGAATTCGTGACAAGACCCCATTAATATTGATATTACATGAATAGAAACAAGATTTTACCTACCGGGTCAACTTTTCTGCTGCAAAGAGCTCGAGAATCTTCTTCCTTCCCTCCAGGATGCGATCTTTATCATGTGATGGAACGTCTGTACTACTTGCCGCTATGTCCTCAGGAGTCCTGCGGAGCTACACAGAAAACAGCAGACATTAGACTGGCACATTAGGTTATTTTAGAACAAGATTTTGATAAGCGCAGGACATGGAATACATAAATGATTGCCGAGGTGAACTAGAGAGTTATGCTAATTTCGATACTCAAATATGTAAATGCCATTGAAGGTAGAATAAAAATATAAATCGCTACGACCGTAAGCCGCACAGAACCTCTGCGCTCTACATACAAATATGCATCTATATCTCCTTCATACCTAAAACATTTCATTGAAAAATCTATGGTAAGCCTGTCCCCATTGTCCTAATAAACACTAATGATGCGTGAAGTTCAGCACTCAAACATGTCCATCACCTGTAGTATCAACCCTTACCTTGTTCCTACTGTCCACCTGTGCTCCAGCCTTCATTAGGAGTTCAGCAACACCAACATGTCCTCCTGTAGCTGCACGGTGAAGTGGCGTGTATGCCAGCTGTAAACAAGAACAGGGGCGACATTACATGGTAAGAGAAGTCCCGATTACCCTAATAAACATTAAATATGCGTGATGTTCAACACTCAAACATGCCCATCCCCTGTAGTGAGTAACAACACTTACCAGATCCCTACTGTCCACCTGTGCTCCAGCCTTCAGGAGGAGTTCAGCAACACCAACATGTCCTTCTGACGCTGCCTTGTGTAGTGGCGAGTCTTCATACTATATCGGCAGGAACAGAGATGACATTACATGGGAAGCCTGTCTTCATTACCCTAATAAACTCTACAAAATATGGGTGACATTCAACACTCAAACATGTCCATCACCTGTAGTAAGCATCAACCCTTACCTGATTCCTTCTGTCCACCTGTGCTCCAGCCTTCAGGAGGAGTTCAGCAACACCAACATGTCCTCCTGTAGCTGCACGGTGAAGTGGCGTGTATGCCAGCTGTAAACAAGAACAGGGGCGACATTACATGGTAAGAGAAGTCCCGATTACCCTAATAAACATTAAATATGCGTGATGTTCAACACTCAAACATGCCCATCCCCTGTAGTGAGTAACAACCCTTACCTTGTTCCTACTGTCCACCTGTGCTCCAGCCTTCAGGAGGAGTTCAGCAACACCAACATGTCCTCCTGAAGCTGCATGGTGAAGTGACGTGTTTTCATACTATTGAGCAGGAACAGAAATGACATTACATGGGAAGAAAAGCCAAAGAACCTAATAAACATTAAATATGCATGATAGCTTAGTCAAACAATCAAATATGTCCATCATCTGTAGTAAGCATCAACCCTTACCTCATCCCTACTGTTCACCCGTGCTCCAGCCTTCAGGAGGAGTTCAGCAACGCCAACATGTCCTCCTGAAGCTGCCTTGTGAAGTGCCTTGTCTTTGTCCTGTAACAGCAGGAACAGAGATGACATTACATGAGAAAAGAAACCTGTCTCCATCATCCTAATAAACACTAAATATGCCTGACGTTAAACACTAAAACATGTTCATCACCTGTAGTAAGCAACAACCCTTACCTTGTTCCTACTGTCCACTCGCGCTCCAGCCTTCAGGAGGAGTTCAACAACACCAACATGTCCTCCTGAAGCTGCATCGTGAAGTGGCGTGTCTCCAGTCAGCTGGAACAGAGATGACATTACATGGGAAGAAACGTCTGTTTTCAATATACCAATAAACATTGAATGTTGGACGCGTTCAACACTCAAGCATGTTCATTACCTGTATTACGGATCAATCCTTACCTCGTTTCTACTGTCCACCTGTGCTCCAGCCTTCAGGAGGAGTTCAGCAACACCAACATGTCCTCCTGAAGCTGCACAGTGAAGTGGCGTGTCCCAATACTGTGAAAGCAGGAACAGAAATGGTATTACGTATACATGGTAGGAGAAGCTCATTTGTTTTTTTGATGAACATTTTGAAAATTATCACTTCACATCATTTTACTTGACGTTATTTGCACTATGTCGTGGGAATAGAGCCTATCAAAACCATTGAGGGATAAACACTAAATGTGCGTAACGTTCAATATTCAAACATGTCCCTCTTCCGTTTATTACGTGTCTCTCTGTGCTCCAGCCATTTCCCACATAAGGTTATCCTGTCCAGTATGTAATATTTTTTACCTGGAGACAAAGAACAGTTGTATGTCATAGGGGCCAACTACAGTGTGTTTAATAGTTCAGCTCATGCCACTGAAGAGGGTCGCCAGTGTTTTGAAACGCCTGTGAACCGGATTACTTACATCGAGCGGAAAGAAAAGTAACTTCGTATATATATATGTGTACATAGGGACCCACAACCAACCTGAGGGACGACATCGCCCCGCCCCTTAACCTGACCTGTGATAAAACAGGATTGTTGTAAAAAGTCTGTTTCTCCCTACTCACCACGCCGACACAGTTGACATCCACTCCATGTCGGATAAGGACCACCACCTTCTCTTCATCTCCTCTATCAGCTGCAAGACGGAGGTCCTGAAGAAAGCGGAATTCATCATCTTAATGCAGCAGGAAAAAAATACAGAGGTAGGAAAAACATCATAACCCGCCCTTCTACAAGCATCTAGTGTATTTGGTATCATTTGTATACTTAAGGATATCATGTCACTGGTATTATCTTTATAAGTCATTCCCTCAATGTTATGATAAAACCACCTCAGGTTTGATTGATATTTAAAGTACATGATTGTGCAAACTTTGCCAGCAATAAAAGGAGAAGGAATAACAGAATTTCATATTGTTGAAACGATGAACGTTTTCGAGTGGCCATTCAACACTTTTTATATATCAACATATGCATCAAGTAGCAATCCAGGTATTCAGACGTCTTCGTCAATATATGTTATCTGAACAGCGCTACAGTTAGATCTATTGCAAATTATCAGATGCGATATGGTTACCAGGTAAACATTGAATCAAGCCTCGGCAACCGACGTTCAAAGTCCACAGACGTCTATGCTGGGCCACGTACTATGCCACGTACACCCAAAACGTAGTTATAACACTTGTTTTTGCCTTAAATGTTCATTTTCAGGTACGAAATCAATTAAAATGTCCGTATAATTATGATATTTCCTCCATGATACCTGTTATACTCCCACAAATAAATCAAAACTTCGTTATATTAGTTGGTCACAGCCGAACGCCAATAAAAGATAAACCACTGTATTGAAATTCTACAACAAAGCATAAGGTAGGTAAAGAGTTTACCTCTTCAAGTTCCCGCTTGGCCCTGGACATCTTGCTTGACTTGTACCTTTCTCACGAAGGTTTTCGGTCTTGAGTCTTGGCAGGAGTACAGTAAATTTTCACGGTCTTTGGTCGGGTGCGTAACGGTGGGGGAAGTTTCCGCCTACCTTTCCGCCATTTTTATCGATCGGACGATGACCTTAACATGACGTAATCTGGACTGTACCATTCACCATTAATTTGCTATGTTATTTACAATGGTGAGTTAAAATGTCTACATAATTTTTTCGCGGCCATTTTTACACACCATGCTACCATTTGAAAGCAATACAAACATGGGTACATATGACTTTTCTTTGTCTTCCAATGCTATCCGTTATTGTCTTTCATAATTTTTTAGAACCTCTTCAAAGGACTGATTAGAAAAACATTATCTTCGGAGAGGTTTTTAAGTAATAATCTTCCTCAAATTGCATTTACCATTACCCCATTAGCATTATACAACATGAAGTTTCCGTTATGTTACTTCTTTCTTACAGTTTTCGTACATGTACAAACATCACACGAGGCACACTGTATCTCATGGACTCAAATAATGAATCATTTATTGAACGCAGAGCGCTGCTGCATCAGGTGCCAACGATTGGGCTCTGATTCAGACAAGCAGACAACGGAACTTCAGCCGATAATGATGCCTGGCATAGAACCATCTGTAAGAAACGAAACAAGCTTTTAACTCAGCGGGCACAATCTTGTTATTTTACAACAATAATCTTATGAAAATATCTGTCATAACTTTTTATACTTAATTTTTAACTTTCCAAGTTCAACTTTATCTGAAAAGAAGCTTGATTAAAAACGATTGCTTACAAGTTACACATTTATAACTATTGGTTGCATAACTTGAAATTATTCAGGAAATTTAAACATTTTTCATGGATCCAAGGGACCGTGGTAGAGACTATCGAAAAGCGCCGCCTACCGGCACATGGAGGATAGCAGATGGCACAGCCGCTGTCGTCTGTGCGGTAAACTGCGCATGTCGTCCAGTAGTAACACGGCATCGTGCTGCAGCCTTCTGGCTGCTCTGTGAAATAATAGTAATAGTAAAAAAAATCAACAACAATAAAAGCCAAGTTAAGATATTCGAATTTCCCCCACACGTGGGTGTATGGCCCTTAGCCCTGTAGCCCTTAGGCCACACAGTTGTACAATCACTATACAGCTCAATCACTTAAAGTCTCAATTTGCTGCCTCTTTAGCTGCTTTCCTCAACAGCTAACTTATTGCTTTCTTACTCTTCATCATGTAAGATGTTATGTACATGATACAGGCATAAACGTCCGTGATGTACTGTAGGTCCATGTTTTGTTGTCTCTTTAGCTGATTTTCGCAACGACTCACTCATTGCTCTCTCAGTCTTCACCATGTGAGATGTAATCTACATGATACAGGCATTCATGATGTACTGTAGATCCATGTTGGCCTGCCAAAGCTGCTTTCCTAAACACATTTATTGCCTTCTCACTCTTCATGTAACACGTTACGTACATGATACAGGCATAAACGTCCGTGATGTACTGTAGGTTCATGTTGGCCTGCCGACTTAAGCTGTTATCCAGAACAACACACTCACTGTTGTCTCACTCTTCACTATGTAATATGTAAAGTACATTTTGTACATAATATAAGCAAAAGCGTACGTGACGTACTGTAGGTCCATGTTGGCCTGCCAACTTTGCTGCCTCTTTAGCTGTTTTCCTCAACAACTCATTCATTGCTTTCTCACTCTTCACCAGGTAAGATGTAACGTACATGATACAGGCGTAAACGTCCGTGATGTACTGTAGGTCCATGTTTTGTTGTCTCTTTAGCTGATTTTCTCAACAACTCACTCATTGCTCTCTCAGTCTTCACCATGTGAGATGTAATCTACATGATACAGGCACTCATGATGAACTGTAGATCCATGTTGGCCCTCCAAAGCTGCTTTCCTAAACACACTTATTGCTTTCTCACTCTTAATCATGTGACATGTTACGTACATGATACAGGCATAAACAATTGCGACGCACTGTAGGTCCGTGTTGACCTGCCAACTTTGCTGTCTCTTTAGCAGTTTTACTCAACAACCGACTGCCAACTTTGCTTTCTGTTTTCCTCAACAACTGACTCATTGCTTTCTCACACTTCATCGTAAGATGTACATGATGCAGGCATACACACTTGCGATGTACTGTATGTCTATGTTGGCCTGCCAAAGAATGTACTGTAGAGCAATGTTGGCCTGCCGACTTTGCAGGATATTTTTGTTGAAGCTATTTGTTTGAAAAGCCATTGCTTTATGTACTTATCCAGTGTTAGTATGCATTGTGGAATAAGCTTTATTTGGGAAGAAAAAAGTACTACATAACTATTTTGTATGAACGTAGAACATCTCTCTGGCACCAAGTTCAGCACCAAGGACAGGTGTGGTTGCAGCAATGTATATGTGCTTGGGTGCCAATGTGTGGTTGTACATTACAGACAAGCTGTGATTCATGCAAATATTTAATACATTTCCTAAAATATTAGTATCTAGCTTTAAAACAAGAAAAAAAGAACGAAAACAGGCTGTCATTCCAACACACCCTCCACTCAAAGCTGTTGCAGCTGGATTAGATTTTGTAATGTCTTATCCTGCTTATAGTTAAGAACGAAAATTCCAAAACTCAATTGTAGCTATAACTAATTTCAAATTACGTTATACATATACATAAACCATTGCCAACTCAAATATCATTGACATTAATAGAGTTTCATTGAAATTCTTTAAATTAATAATTTTCTAAGGCTAGATATAGTTGACTGCTGTATATGTCTAAATTTCCAATTTCACACCAAACTGAAGTACAAAGTGCCCAAATTGCCCTTAGTTAGATTATTACCAAAATGAGAGTAAAATATAAAAATATCTGACGCACTGGATTAATCTGTCCTAGACATACATCTTTTTTTAACATTCATGGTTATCTTTTAAAACTTATTTCAAACACCACATAATCTCATTCCCCAGCAACGTTGAAGTTGTATGCTTAGTAAAAGTAAGTCTCATATTAAATTGCTATATATTTCATGACACTATGTGTTTGCAATAAGCACTTATCATCATTTTAAATCAATGATATCATTTACTATATATACAAGATTTTGATTATAATATTGCATTTTTCTCTTTTCTATTCCTTTACTAAGTAATATGTTGTAACTAAAATGGCCCTTTACTGATTTATGTTAGTTATTATCATCATCATCATAGTTATGATATCATTTTAGCATATCATATAATTCTACACATGCTGTTTTCAGATCTTGTAGGTTTCACTCACTGTACCTTCACGTGTCACCGTGGCTCATGGTTTCTTCGCTACTGCAAAAGAAAAACATAGTGCAAACTTAACATAAGTATTAAAAACGCCAACAATGTTACAAAATTGCAGAAAAACCCAAGTGGCAGTCAGTACACGTATTTGGCATAACTGTAACAGACATGCAGCAAATGTAAGTTGTTACTAAGTAACTTTTTACAGCACAGTAGTTACTGTTATGATCAGTTTAAATCGACTCCTCCCTTAGCCCTGCCCATTTCCCAATAGGGGCAATGGAAGTAAAACTGAACTTCCCAAGGCAAATTGGGTAGTACAAAGTGTGACACACAGAGAAAAGAAATTGTTTCTACTGATCCGTTTGAATTTTAAGTTTATTTCTTGTAGTCTCCATCAGACTCCATCGCAGGCTGAATAAATACTAGAAATCGGCCTAAAAGAAGTTAGCGGGCCAGGGGAGTTGGTCGGCTATAGAGGACAATGCTAAATTCGTTTTGTGGTCGATTTCTACTATTTCATCAGCTCACAATGCAGTTTGGTGGAGAATATATTTCTCGCCTGAGATGCAACAAGCAATGACGATACAACTCTTTGATTATAAGAACCTACCGATATCTGGGAATTCCCTCTTCAACCCATCCACGACGCTCTGCAGCTCTGCCTTCGACAGAGCCTCCATCAGGACCTCTATGGTAGCGGCGTCTCCCTTCTTCTTCTTCCATTCCTGCAGCATGTCCATACAGCGGGACTTGTCGTCGGGGTTTCTGCCGGCGATGTTACTGTAGGTAGCCCAGTTGAGTCCAAGCGTAATGGCCAAATCCTTCCAGTCTGTGCTCACTTCTTCCTTGGTGAAATAGAAAAACTTCTCGACGTCTGCAAGAGAAGGTTGAACAAGGCTAATTTGGACATACACCGTCCCAATTCTTTCTCAACATTTTACTACGGCCTTTAATATACCATTAGATATTTTCTTACAACATGTATAAGACGTTAAATACGTTTTGCATATATTATGCAAGTACTCATGAATTAAAATTTATTGTAAATCATTGTATTATAAGACCAACTTGGAAAACTATAGTACAGTACTACAAATAATATATGCAAAGCGTACTTTATAAGTAATAATCTGTTGAATCGTATTACCTTTCAAACTTTTGCTACCTTCAGCTTCCCTTGGTATCTGTATAAAGAATAAATGTTATTCCATCTCTTGCAAAAGACATTGCAAAAGACGTTGGCGTTATCAATACTTACTTATGATTTTATGAACATTGAAACACCTGAATGGGTAATAAGGACTGTTGAAAAAGAATGCTGGTCTTTCTTGTGGAATGGAAAGAAGGATAAAATTAGTAGAAAGTGTATGATAGGAGAATACTGTGAAGGAGGTATACAAATGGTGGACCTGAGATCTCAGATACAGGGCTTTCTAGCCAGTTGGGTAAAAAGACTTTGTCAGGGGCCAAATGCCCAATGGAAACTTATTGCTAGGGTTTATTTAAATGAGTGTGGTAAAGATGACATGTTGTTTAGGATGAACTTTTGTTTGAGAAAATGATTGTCCAGAACTTCCTACTACTAGTATGCCAACTTTTTACAAGAATGTTATACTAGCTTGGCACTCAGCAGGTGGAGGTGTGAAACAGGAACCACAAACTATCAGTGAAATAATGAATGAAATAATATGGGGTAACCAATACGTTACACTTGACAATAGAACATTATACTATAAAAACTGGATTAAATCAGGTATCGTAAAAATTCAAGATGTCTTCCTACAAGGCAAGTTTATTACGGCACAGAATTTGTTAGTAAAGTTGAATGACACCAGGAACTTTCTGGCAGAACATAATAATCTTTGTATGGCTATCCCAAAACATTGGAAAATGTCTTTGAGTGTGATGAGTAAATATGAGAAACAACAGTGTTTGGGAACAAAGCAACTTGGAATTTTTAATACTACTTTTGTTCCTTTAGAGAAATTGACATCCAAGATATTATGCAATAAGATAAAAGCAAAAGAAACAAGACAAAGTAAATGTATTGATGACTGGAGTGAAACACTTGATGTTACAAATTTGGATAAGAAATTGTTATGGAAAAATTTAGTATTAAATATTAAAGAAAACAAATTGAAAGAATTCAATTTCAAGCAATTTCTTCCATGTAAAGTGAAACTGAACAAATGGCAAATTAGGAATCAAGCAGGTGAAGTATATAGTCCAATGTGCACACTATGTAATGTTAAGGAAACCTACATCCATATGTTTGTTAATTGCAAAAGGTTGGGGAGCTACTGGCAAAATGTTGAAAATAGATTGACCATTTATCATGGCACTAGAATTAGAGTCAATTCCGCGTCACCGAGTGGGTTGTTATTGTCATTATTTAGAAATGTTTTGAATTCTTTGTAATTGTTTGTCTAAGAAATTTCATAATTTGGAAATATTTTGAACATCTTGTCAATATTCTAAATAATTCCCTGGTTTTCTAAAACGTTTGAAATATTCCTGATGTGGATTATGACATTTCCAATAGTTTCTAAATATTTCTAACAGCACTCTACCATTTTTTACCATTATTTCGAATTATTTCTAACATTTTGTAAATAGGTCAGTGGGATGGGAAGGAAGTAATTCACACATCCCTGTGAAGTACAGGGCAGACTGCCTGGGTGTCAGGCATTGATGCCTTACAACAAAAGAGCCACCAGTGTCCAGCAGTGAAATCTAAAAATATACAGAGGAAGACAGAAGAGTAGGATTAGCACCTACTTTTATGGGGGCAATTACCCACATCTACCAGTTACTAACAATCCACACTGGAAGTATGTCGATGACATGAACCTGGGAGAAGTTAGGACTGTGTCAACCCCAACTAAACTTCAGACTGACCTTGACTCATTGGACACCTGGGCCGAAACGAACTCCATGTTACTTAACCCCAAAAAATGTAAAGCAATGTATTCTGCTTCATGAGAACCCCCCCAGTAATGCACCCACTGACTCTCGGAGGTCAGCCACTTAGCATAGTTACACAAGCAAAGTTACTTGGTTTGCACATACGCTCTGACCTACGGTGGTCTGATCAAGTTGACGCCATGGTGTCCAAGGGCAGTAGAAGGTTATACTTATTAAGTAGGCTGCGTCGAGCTGGCCTCCCAAGCTCTGACCTTGTCACAGTGTATTGTGGGTATATTCGACCAATAGTTGAATATGCCACGCCCTGTTGGAATGCGGGGATCACAAGAAAACAATCTGACAGCATAGAAAGAATCCAGAAAAGGGCCTGCAGAATCATACTGGGTAGAAGCTATCACTCGTATTCCGAGGCCCTGTTAACTCTTGACCTCCAACGTCTGTCTGAACGGAGACTGACCCTGTGCCGGGCCTTTGCCCTTTCAGCCACTAGGTCTAGGCACGCCCCCTGGCTACCCCCAGTTAGTAACCACTCACACAACATGCAGCTAAGGCAAACACGGCGCTACAAACCACCCATTGGGACAAAAAGATATTTATGCAGTCCTGTCCCCACAATGCTGAACATACTGAATAACCTTGCCATACAGTAGATTTCATTTTATGTTGTTGCACATGTTGTAATTGTACTTTTTTATTATTGTCAGTTGTACCTAAGTAATTTGCCAACAGAAGTTGTATGATGTAATTTTAGCATAAATGTGCATTATTCTAGCGCATAAGTGGTGTTTAATGCCTCTCAGGCACCTTTTATGTATATACATTATGTATTAGTCATGTGGTTCTTAAAAACTTGTAAAAGCTTCTCAATTCAGCCTTTGGCTGCAAAAAGCTTTTAACCTACTGTACTATGTATGTATGAAGTATGTGTTTCTGCAAATAAACCAGTCTATATGGTTATTTGTTTGAAATAGTTCTAAATATTTCGAATTGTGAAAGAAACACATGGGTAGTTCAAATTTATTCTAAAGAAAGAGATCTTTGTACAGTCACATTCAAAATGTTTCAGAAATATATAAATGAATTCAAATATATTCAAATTTTCATTTTCAAATTTTTGAAAAATTTAGAACTTTTGTTACTGGGGTATTCTTTTCTTCTAAATAATTCAAACGTATTAGAAACATGAAGAAAAAACCCACTCGGTGACGCGGAATGGACTCTAAGCTAAACAATTTGTCAATTTTTTTCGGAATGGATCAAAATTTGGAAGTCTTAGATACAAATATCATTCTGGCGATCACTGTAGCTAAATTTGTCATTTACAAATCCTGGCTGGAATCTAAAGATAAGGATAGCATTCAACACAACCTATTTTTTTTTCTTGTAACTGAGATGTCCTTTAGACATCTATAATTCTGTTCAGTGCATTGTATGTTGTGTATATGTGTATATTTTGTAAATATTTTGTGGCTTGGTCAATTAAGTTTTGAAAAAAAAAAGACATTGCAGAGTCATAAAGAACAGTGATTACAGAGGTGTACAGGTGAAGTTATCACGCATGACACTAGTTACAATAAAGCATAATTGTTTTTTGCTTCAAATTGCTTTTAAAGTTATTTCATAAAGTATTTAGTGCTCTTTTTATGGCCAATGCTAATAATACGTTTACATAAATGCTGTTCTACCTGAGTCTCAAAAGGCACATGGATTGGGAGCTGGCACAGCGATGTTCGCTCATGGAGCTTATTGCCGGGTGGATGTTTGACTACTTCTCGTCCCTTCTGCACAAGATCTTCCAGGCCTCCTTCTTGTTTGTCCACTTCCTCTTTTTGGACTTTGACGCGTGGCAAGGCAAAGAATTCAGCGAATCCTCGACCATCTAGACTCTGTTGGTCTTTCGCCTTCAAAGCCATGATATGCATCTGAAGGCGGCTGCCTCTCTGACTGTGGAATGTGATTTGCTGATTCGTGCTGCTTCCAAATGCTGGGATCGACACGTTTCCTAGCAGGGCCATTTCTACTACCTGTCCTTCGAATAGATCAATTGCTGAGTTGGTAGGCAGCGGGCCCTTGTACCCCTTTTGGAGTAGTGCTGAGTGCTTCTCTTCTGCATCTTCGGCTTTAGCGCACTCTACGACAAACCGGTTTGCGTCGTCCCCGCTCTGTAGCATGATGAACTGTACGGGACGGAGTTGAAGCCATCGGCAAAGGTTTAGGGGGATCGGTTCTAGCTCTGTGTCACCGGTGATGTCTGTGACAACGATTACAATCCACCTGGAAATATACAGTTATCTCTTTACTTAAGTTACAAATGAATTCTTATAGATGTTTATTTTTGACCGATTACGGAAAAAGTACTTACAATCCAAGTGATGTAACTCAACCTACTTTGAGTCGCCATTGTATATTCAACCAATACCGCATAAGAAACATACTCGGTATACAATGTGCGACAATACTAGATTTTGTTATGTATTTCTCACAATCTGCTTAGTTTCTGATGTAGAAAAGACGATAAAAAATACCTGGCAAAATGGCTGACTTTAAACTCCACAAATTCGAAAGACTCTTGCGGGTTAGTGTTCTCTGTTACATCCTTCCAGTCTTCTGTCCCCTCCTCACATGACATCACCCTCAGTTTGGTGGGCCTCTCATGTTGGATGTCCATGTAGTGTTGTGGATGTGGGACTCGCACTGTGACCGGTTTGTGGATGCGGACGTCGGATTTTGACTCAGTGGTGACATTGACAATCGGGCTGGTGCCAACAAGGTTGCCGAAAGACTCATCCTTTGCTTTGGTGTCCTCAACTGCTCTTTTGGGAACTTCTTGTACCTACAGTTGAAATGAAAAATCGTGTTTTATAAATTATAATGTCAGTAGAAGTACCAGATAAAGACTATCACATCACTGTACAAAATAATATAAATGAATTTAGAAGCAGAAAATAACAGACTAATCATGATCATGATATGCATAATTTATCAGGCCTTTGACAGTGACCACCAGAATTTAAAAAAAAAATAGGTTGTTTTCAATTGTTTTGAAATCCAACATTTCATATAGTAAGTAATGTATGAGTATTGTTAGTGTGTTCTTTTCCGATTGAAGAAGAAGTATCACAGCATTTATCAATCGTATAGTTGACGATGAAGATCCACCCACAGCTGCTAGAGTTAATTTTGCTGTTGGCATACAAGCAGACCCAGACCACGGCTAATGAATACCGGGGCATAATCGAAAACATAACCATCTTTTCGAAGTTAGTAAGAAACACTGTCGACTTAACAGATCCTTCTAACTTGGTAAAGCTGAAATCAGCCCTGACCTGTACTGTGACTTGTGTTGGTGTGTTCACAGTCTGTTCCGGGAAGCTGATTTGTACCGCAGGCTGCGTTGATGACGTCAGCTTAAACCCTTCTGTATGCACAGTAAACTTGTCCTGTTTAGGTTGACTGATGACGGCAAAGATGGAGAAGTGGTCCACTGATACTGCGACTCTGTCTTCCCCCTGAAATGGGATAGGGTGGGTCCTTTCATTATCTATTTGGAAAACACAATTTCCTATGAAAATATGTAAGTATTAAGTTTTGTTTTCGTGAGGAATTTCATGTTTGTCCACTTACTTTTTTACTGGTTTCAAGTTCCTTCCATTGTGACCTGTCCTCAGAGACCCACACGACAGTTTCCGTAGCGCCACTTGGCGATGCACAGTTGTACTGCATCTGCACAGTGACAGGTTTGCGGAAGGTTGTCCCGTGTGGACCCAGCTCTATGATGTCACTCACTAACATCTCTCCGTCCTTCAGGGGGAGGGTGACGTCATTGGGGTTGATGACCTGACAGGTGATTTCTGTTGCCATGGTAACGGCACCACGTGGTACAGAGACGGTGCAATACGCGGTTTGTAGTTTACCTCCTTCTGGACCCACTTTGAGCTTGTAGGTGAAAGGGCTGGGAGAGAACGTGACATTCCATCATACATCTTGCATAAAAAGGAATGTGTCTGTAGAATTACCTTATACAGTTTTAATGAGTTAATAATAGTATGTTAATGTAGAGGTCATTTGCATAATTAATGAGGACATGTTGAAATGAAGTATGACAAAGGAGAGGAATTTGACAAGAAAAATATTTTCATTTGAATTTAGGAAACCATAAATTAAACTAGATTATGCTAATTACGACCTTATTTCCATAGTCAATGAGACCAATAAAATACATTTACAAAAACTCATATATTTCATGGAGGTATGAGATCTCCGAATACTTGTTGATATGTTAGTGCAGAACTAGAGTTCACCTACCGGCCGGCTTTCACTGCTGCAAAAAGCTCGAGAATCTTCTTCCTTCCCTCCAGGACGCGGTCTTTAAAGTACCAGTCTGTAGTGTCTGTCCTTGCCGCTATGTCCTCAGGAGTCTCGCCGTCCTACACAGAAAACAGCAGCCATTAAACCAACTCATTCAATGTCATTTTAAAACAGATTTAGATAATTTCAGGAAATGGAATACAGAAATGACTGCCGAGGAAAAGAGAATTTGCTGTTCGTATGTAAATACCATTGTATTAGTAGAATGTATAGCCGCCCATTGGCTTAACACACCGGCTTCTGTCCTCTACATGCATATATGCACCTAAGTCTTCTTCGTACCTAAATCCCATTTATTGAAAAATAAGCGTTAGACCTTTTATTGTCCCTTTGAGACTGCGACATTTTTCAAGACATATCAGTATACGTTTGTAAAATTTTTGTTCAGAAATCTTGTTTTCTCGATCTGTAGATAAATGTGAATATTACAAGTACTAAATGATTATCTTATGTCATATATTGGACTAAGGTTAGAATGGAAAAAAAAATCAATACTGTATAATAATAATGCGTAATATAGCATTACACGTCGGATCCTGGGATCATGCCGGTAGTAAACATTAAGTAAACATCTCAATCATCGGCGGATCCAGGGCAGTCGATCACAAGTCAAGGGTAGTAAACATGATGTCTGATTTTATTCTTATATAGTAAAGAAGCTTGCCCATTATCCTATTGAGCCACACAAACATGTCCATCACCTGTAGTAGGCAGCAACCCTTACCTCATTCCTACTGTCCACCTGTGCTCCAGCCTTCAGGAGGAGTTCAGCAACACCAACATGTCCTCCTGATGCTGCATAGTGAAGTGCTGTGTTTTCATACTATTGGGCAGGAACAGAGATGACATTACACGGTAAGAGAAGCCCGTCTACATGTACATTGACATTGCCATAGTCAACAGCGTTATACACCATATTCTCAACATTCAAACATGCCCATCACCTGTAGAAAGCATCAAACCTTACCTCATTCCTACTGTCCACCTGTGCTCCAGCCTTCAGGAGGAGTTCAGCAACACCAACATGTCCTCCTGAAGCTGCCTTGTGAAGTGACGTGTTTTCATACTATTGGGCAGGAACAGAGATGACATTACATGGTAAGAAAAGCCAAAAAATCATAATAAACATTAAATATGCATGATAGCTTAGTCAAACAATCAAATATGTCCATCACCTGTAGAAAGCATCAACCCTTACCTCACCCCTACTGTCCACCTGTGCTCCAGCCTTCAGGAGGAGTTCAGCAACACCAACATGTCCTCCTGAAGCTGCATAGTGAAGTGCTGTTTTTTCATACTATTGGGCAGGAACAGAGATGACATTACACGGTAAGAGAAGCCTGTCTACATGTACATTGACATTGCCATAGTCAACAGCGTTATACACCATATTCTCAACATTCAAACATGCCCATCACCTGTAGAAAGCATCAAACCTTACCTTATCCCTACTGTCCACCTGTGCTCCAGCCTTCAGGAGGAGTTCAACAACACCAACATGTCGTACCCAAGCTGCCTTGTGAAGTGACGTGTTTTCATCCTGTGACAGTAGGAACAGAGATGACATTATATGGTAAGAAAAGCCCAAAAATCATAATAAACATTAAATATGCGTGATAGCTTAGTCAAACAATCAAATATGTCCATCACCTGTAGTAAGCATCAACCCTTACCCGATCCCTACTGTCCACCTGTGCTCCAGCCTTCAGGAGGAGTTCAGCAACACCAACATGTCCTCCTGAAGCTGCCTTGTGAAGTGACGTGTTTTCATACTATTTGGCAGGAACAGAGATGACATTATATGGTAAGAAAAGCCAAAAAATCATAATAAACATTAAATATGCGTGATAGCTTAGTCAAACAATCAAATATGTCCATCACCTGTAGTAAGCATCAACCCTTACCGGACACCTACTGTCCACCTGTGCTCCAGCCTTCAGGAGGAGTTCAGTAACACCAACATGTCCTTCTGATGCTGCACGGTGAAGTGGCGTGTTTTTGTCCTGTGGCAGTGGGGACATTACATGATAAAATTAGAAGCCTGTACCCATTGTTCCATTCAACACTAAGTATGTTAGGCGTCAAACACTCAAATTTGTCCATCATATGTAGTAAGCATAAACCCTTACCTTGTTCCTACTGTCCACCTGTGCTCCAGCCTTCAGGAGGAGTTCAGCAACACCAACATGTCCTCCTGAAGCTGCCTTGTGGAGTGGCGTGGCTTCAAACTGTAATAGCAGGAACAGAGATGGCATTACAGCGGAAGAGAAGCATGTCCCCATCATCCTATTAAACACTACTATATATGCCTGATATTAAACACTCAAACATGTCCATCACCTGTAGTAATCATCAACCCTTACCACATCCCTACTGTCCACCTGTGCTCCAGCCTTCAGGAGGAGTTCAGCAACACCAACATGTCCTTCGTCAGCTGCGTTGTGAAGTGACGTGTTTTCAAACTATGGGCAGGAACAGGGATGACATTACATGTTTAAAAATAGTCGGTCCCTATTGTCATAATAAACATAACAAATATACGAGACGCGTTAAACACTAAAAATGTTCGTCACCTGTAGTAATCATCAACCCTTACCTCAGCCCTACTGTCCACCTGTGCTCCAGCCTTCAGGAGGAGTTCAGCAACACCAACATGTCCTCGTTCAGCTGCACGGTGAAGTGACGTGTGTCCATACTGTAACAGCAATTACAAGAACAGAGATGGTATTACGTATACATTTCAAGAGAACTAGAAGCCCATTTATTTTTCCCCATGAACACTTTTCAAATTTAATTGTTATCACTTCACATCATATTACTTCACCTTATTTATACTATATAATCCATAATGAGAAAGCCATATAGTGACAAACACTAAATATGTGTGGCGTTCAATGTTCAATAGCCTTTTTGTCTTCACACACCAAGTTCTCCTGTTCAGTAACAGATATCCTCACCTAGAGGAAACTGTGTGTCAGGTGGGGGAGTGACAACACACTTTGTCCTGTTCAGCATGTTATTTTTTTTTAACTTGGGAGAACTTAGAACTGCGTATCATGTGGAGCGACTATAGTATGTTAGTTCAGCTGACACCATTGAAGGGTGTTCTGAAACGTCAGACTCTGTGAACCTGATTACTTCTAACGAACATTCTAGCTTGAGCCAGGCCATGGAAGACAGCAGTGCAGGAACTTTGGGGCTGCCATTTTGACCCAAGGCCAGGGACTTCGCGTAAGTCAAGTAAGTCAAGTCTAACGATAGAAAAGAAAAAGGAGCCATGTATATCTGGGCCCACGACAGACATCGGCTATATTAATCGACCTCCGTGACTTGTCTGTGATTCAACAAAGTGGTTCCTCCCTACTCACCGCGCTGTCATAGTTAACATCCGCTCCCTGTCGGATCAGCTCCGTCACCTTCTCTTCATCTCCATCACCAGCTGCAAGACAGAGGTCCTGTAGAAAGCAGCATTCATCATCATAATGCAGCAAGAAAACAACCCGGAGGTAGAAAAAAGAAATATCACAATTCACCCTTCTACAAGTATCAAGTTTGTTTGATATCATTTTATACTTTTATACTATGGATATGGGGTCACTGGTATTATTTTAAGTATATTCCCTAAACGCAATGATAACAAACACCTCCAGTTTGCTTGATATTAACGTAGGCATGATTGTGCAAACTTTTGCCAGCCACAAAGGAGAGGAAACAACGGAATTTCACATCGTTTAGATATGCGATGGGCTTTTGGAAGTGGCTGCTCAACACCTGTATTCATTATCAATTAACCCTATTCAGACGGGGGGGGGGGGGGGCTTTTGAGGTGCGCGCAAACTTTAATCTCGGATAAAGCCCGAACGGCTTAGCCGAACCGTCATAACTGTACATAACACTTGTTGTCATTAATTTTATTACTACATCATTCTCTGAAAATTTGGTGGCCCTACGATAAGTGGTTGTTGAGTTACAGGGGGCGGGCCTCAAAAGCGCCCCCCCCGGTCTGAGCATGCCCAAAATGCCCGGTCTGAATAGGGTTAAACAGCAATTCAGGTATTCAGACGTCCTCCCCAATGTTTGTTCTTCAAACAGGGCGACAGTTATAAAACTATAAAACTGTTCGAAACAGTTATAAACCTGTTGCAAATCACCAGGTGCGATATGGTTACCAGGCAAACAGTTGATCAAACATCAGCAACAGACGTTCAACGTTTACAGACGCTGGGCCACGTACACCCAAAACCGTTGTTATATTATTATATTACTCATATTCAGATAGGGAACCAGCCAAGACGTTCATTCCATATCTGCCACGGTACCTGCTATATTACAATATCCTAACTGAACCTTCTTTACGTTACTTGGCCACAACTGACCACCAATGCAAGATAAACAAGTTGAAATACTACTACACAATGTAAGTAAAATAGTTAACCTTTTCACGTGCCCAATGGGACATCTTGCTTGACTTGAACCTTTCTCACGAAGGTTCGCGTCTCAAAAATCAATTAAAATGTCCATATAATTATCATATAAATAATCCAGTACCTGTTATATTACACAGTTCCCACCAATCAACTAAAGCTTTATGTTAGTTGGCCACTGATAAAAGACTGTATTGGAACACAACACACACAATACAAGTAAAAACAAAGAATTTACCGCTGCAAGTTCCCACTTGGCCTGCAAGAACATCTTGCTTGACCTTTTTATTTCCCACGAAAGTTTCGCGTCTTGTGTCTCGGCAGAAGTACAGCAAATTTTCACGGTCTTTGGTCGGGTCTGTAACGGTGGGGTGAAGTTTCCGCCTACCTGTCCGCCATTTTGATCGATCGGACGGTAACCTTAGTTACATGACGTAACCTGGACTGTTCCATTCAGTATTACTTTGCCATGTTAGGGCACGGTCACATTTCCAAGCCGGGGCCCGGCCGGGTTGTTTGCGTGAACGAATAATAGACAATTTGCATTAAGAGTGCTCATGGTTAATTTTCTAAAACTTTTTTTGTGTTTTGCTCTCTTATGTCATAATTTTCGTTCCAAACGACTGCCCGGCCAGGCCCCGGGTTGAGAAATGTGACCGGGCCTTTCTTCATACATTATTTTTTCGGTCATTTTTTTAAAACAGAAGTCAAGCTACCATTTCAAAGCCGATTTACGTAAATTGATACTTTTCTTGGTCTTTCATTGCTATCCGTAAATGCCTTCATTTGTTGGAAACCCTTAAAATGATTGATTGTAACAACATTATCTTCTAAGGGGTTTGAGGTAATAATTTTTAAAAATCGGTAGCGGCAAGCTGTTCTCTCACCGCGGACTATCTCCCCTGTCATGTTATCTCTCTATTTGGCCGGCTCCCACTCTTCCCAGCCGCCTCCCGAAGCCTGGTAGAGGCTAGCGATTAGTGGCAGTGCCATGACTCTTTGGTCATAGTTACAGGTAACGGACTTTATTTTTCTGGGAACTGGCCAAAATCAATGCGCGCGCGGACGCCATCCATAAAACTACTTGGTGTGGCCTAAGGGACTGTATGATATTTAGCGGGGGGGGGGGTGGCGATGAGGGGGGAGGGGTCGAAGGGTAAAAA